GCAACAGGGTCGCCGACCTTGCAGACAGTCCACTTCAACAAGCGGGGAAAAGAAACGGTGACGCAAAGGCGCCAACAGGGAGCCCAGGCTCCTCCGATTCCACAGCGATACGCGTTCTGCATATCTCTCGAGCAGCCAGTTTCGTCATGTTCAATACTGCTCCTTCATAGTAGCTAGTTGTTGACCAGCCTGCCTAGCGTTTTCTCACAATGCTAGGACCGCAGATCACTCTCTGATGCGGCATCTTCCGTTCTATCCTGCCGCCGTTATTCCAAGCTGTCCTCCACCGGAGATATTTCGCAGCAAGCCAGGCGTCATACCTTACTTGCAGACAGTCAGTGCCGCCACGAAATAGCTCGACGCCGTTGCTAGGATTTGTCCGGGGGAGGGTGGACAGGTGCCCGGCCGGAAACTAGACCCCCGAACTACTTCGGCCTGGTGCTGAGTCTAAAGAGCTGGGATCCGGACAGCCATGGCACAGTCCTCTTGCTGGCACCTCCGTCCTGAGAGCACTATCCAAGACATGACAGGGTCACCCCCTGCTCCGATGCGCCGCTTGGGAAGCTCAAGGACACTTTCGGTAGGGGGAAGGACACATGGCAGTGGAACCTCGCCTGTCTCTCCACATGCAGCCCAGCATCGTCGTCAGCGGGCCTTGATTGCCAACCAGGTCTTTCACGAGCAGCTCCAACAAAGAGTGCACCTGGGCTCCCACTGCTAGCTTCCTTCTTGGGCTGGCCGCAGCGTGCCAAACCACCGACTTGCTACTTACGGGTCCGAAGCCAGGGTCTGATAGCCCGCAAAGGCTATCTCCAGTGGAATTGAGTTTTCAATTGCGGCGCAAGAAGAAACTTTTCATGCAAACAAGCGTTGCGTTGCTTTGCTCCCTTTCAAAGTTGCGGCGACAGTCTGACATCGGGCTTGCCTATCGTACGAGCCTAAGGGTCCCGACCACAGTCTGTTTCGGTCGAGGATTCAGCACGGCTCAGCTCAGCTCAGGTGAAGTGCAGCTCTTCAACATCACTCACCTCACCGGTTTCCCATGGCTTGACAAGCTAGCCGCGGCCTGCTAACAGCAACCGCGATTTCAGAATGCCATGGATCATGGATCAGCCCAGTAGCCAGACCATGTCTCCCTTGCCCGGTACGTATCGCTCGCACTCCAGATTCGATCATACGCCCGGCAGCTCCCAGCAGCTTGGAGGCGGGCGGGACCCTCCCCCTGGTGCGGCCTTTTGACCTTTTGGGTAGAGCCGAGTAAACGGCGAGCGTTGATTCCCTGCAGGCCAGCTACTACTGTACGATCATCTAGGGTGGCATTTCATCTCATCAAACCCCACCAGCCAGGATCCTGGGCTTGGACATTTGGAATTGACGCAAGACGACGAGTGCTACAGGCCCGGCTCTCGAGGCCCGACGTACATGTGCCCTGGCCTGGCTTGCCCCCATACACGCCTTCCTGCTCAGACGGAGGCCCGGGGACTCTCTTTGCACCCAGCCGATTGTCAGCCTTGACCACGGCGGCTGGTGCCGTGGTCGCGGTTCCGATAGGGGCAGCGCTATTGGCAGGCTAGGTAAATTTCCGTGACAAGGGTGGTCCTTGGAGAACATGATATGATATGACGATGTTGTCCACCATCACGGCGATGGGTTCTGGGGATCAACTCTTGACCAAGCCGGATTGGTTCCACCTCTGCAGACTCCGTTGGCAGCCAACCCAATACGTCACCTTGCACAGACTTGGTTCTGTCGCTCCAACCAGACCCAGGCTGATGCTATTGCTGGAGGTATTCGTGCTGCGGCCTTGATATCTTGGCGTTGAAGGAATGGCGGATAATGGGGACATCTCATGGTGTGGATCAGCTCTGCCCAATAGAGCGGCTGCAGCACTCCAACAATAAGACATCACAGGATTCAGAACGCTCCGCTCCCCTTGCGATCGACAGAATCTCCGGCTTGTCTCGGGCCTCTTTGTGGCCTTGTCTTGCTGCACGAGACCACATTCAACTCTGCCGTCAGCATGGAGGCTTCAAGCCCCCTCCCCTGGTCCAACAGAGCGTTGACCAGACGGAGATTTTCTAGCTGTTGTACGTCGGATCGAGGGGAATTCGGTGTCGATTGCAAAGACTCTGCAATTTCTCGGGGCCCATGGCTCGCAGAATGCATGCCTTGTTGGTTTCGAGCGATGCACATGGCCGCTGTGCCTCCGGCCCTGACCAAACCAAGAGTTGCAACTGCCCACACATGAGCTTCCAACGGGGCAAGTTGTCTGGCAGTGCTATCAGGCAACGCATGTTCAACGGCAGATGGAGGATTCCCGAGACATGTACAACACGGGGCCATTGAGAGTCACCATGGGCCCAGAGGCCTGGGACGCGGCCGTGTTCTTGCAGGTTGTGCCAGGCTGGCCCCCGCGGGTTACTGCATACTCGGCCTCTCATCTGGTCATATCGGCACGTCGATCATCCGTGCACATGACCTAGCCGTGGATGGAGATGTGACAGATGATAGTCGAGAGCGATAATAAGGGGTAATAATGGGGAGGTAAGGTTGATCGACGTGCCCTAGGTATCCGGTCTTGGAGGCAGACCGAGGCTGATACACGATACGTACTGACCAGGCCTCCGGAGTAACTAGTTGCAGGCGGTCATTTGTCAAGGTCACCTAGGTGGAGCAGGCCCTGTACCAAGCGGGCTGTATCAGACTCTGATAGGACCCTGCAAGTCTCATTGCGCGCAGGATTAGTCTGTGTTTCAAAAGCGCAAAATGACAGGTGTGTGCGGATTTGATTCAGCGGCGCTCGTGAAGATGACCACGAGGTTATGTATGGTTTCCGCTAACCTGCCCGGGTCCCAGTCGTGCACCGATGGGGCAGAGTGGCTTTATGTCTCAGGGAGAAGGCCACTGGGCGAATGCCTGGTTGTGCTATGCGCGACGGACGAATCCTGGTCTCCAGGAGCAGTTGACCCTGAAGTTGATTCACACCTTGGCTTGGGCCGCGGCGCAGATTGGAGGCTCTTGGCCTGTCACTGACAGCAGACTACTACCCAGTATACTCGTCAACTGGAAAGTAGAGCCTATGTTCAACAGGCTCGCACAACTCACCCGTTTCACGGTTTCACGCCAAGCCTCACGTTTCCTCTATGAGATATCTCAAACATGCCTGCACATGCACACCGGAGCGCGCCTCATCATGAACTAGCCAGTAACTGGCACCATCAAGAGCTGCGTGCCGCCGGACGCGGAAGGGACAAGGGTTAAAAAGCACATATGTTTTTCTGCACACCGACTTGTCATCGAATTCATTCCAGTCGCCAATCCAACAAACATGATCTGATCTTGCAGAAGCAACTTCAAGACTTGGGACAGAGACGGTCTTCACTAGTGAATCATCGACGGCGCAATGCGGCTGATGACCTAGTTTCGCTTCCTGGTTCGGATCCCCTCCAAGGATTTGCTTCTGCAACCAGGGAAGAGAGAAAAAACAAATAAAACTCTCCGCGAGGCTTTTGCGGTCCCTCCACCTCTGCCGTTCCCTTGATGTCAAGGCCCGGCATTGCGGATCGAAGGCTGAGATTGGGAGGCGAATATTCGGGGGGAGCTCCGACTGGCCCGATAGGTCTGGGAACGAAGGGATACGCACCGCCTTGCGACTGAACCCTTTCTTTCTGCCCCTTTTCTCACCAACACCGACGACTTGCATCCATGACCCGCTTCTCGGCCGATGGGGGTAGTTGTAGGGCTTACGATGCGCTAAATTCGGCTGTCATTACGGAGTACGCCTTTTGGAGATGAGGTCGGATGTGTGTGCGTACGTACGTATGTACGTGGTTGGTTGGGGAATGGGTCTCCCTTTGGTGGTTTTGTGTCGTGCGAGAATGCGGCACGAATCTAGGTTTCTCTCGAGGTCTCTCCCTAGGGGCACCGAGGGCATGGATACCAAGCACCCAACGCCACGGCAGTGATGGTGAGCGGTCTAGTTACCAGACGGCTCAACCCTTGATCTTTGCGCGAATGAGATCGATTACAACCTCCAAGTACAAACGAACCAAATCAGGACAAGCTGACGATCGAGTTTGGTATTCGAGACAACTAGATCTAGACATGGCTAATATTCAGGCTGGAATCATGCCATACAAGGAAAAGAAAGAGCCAAGACAACGCTAAAAATGCCCAACTCCCTTGGCTAACCCTTCAACAATGGTTGACCCTTCAACACCGTGTCTCGCTGGCTCGCATCGACATTTCTCCCCCGCAGCATGAGCTCCGGAGCGTTACACAAGTCCTTGTCTGGCACGTCGAGGCCTCTCGACCCTGCCGACTGAAGCTGTGGTGACGAGTCGCATGTGCAACTGCACACCGTTTGATGGACGATTCCCTCCCGGAAAATGACAGATGAAACCACACGGCCACACCCATCAGACCAAGCCCCATACCACATTCTCGCGGCCATGAACCGACCAGGCTCTGTAGGGTAACACGGGGACTCGTCCATGTTCGCTTGATCCGCTGCGGCGTCACCCTGGCGGTACCTGTCTGGCACAGAATTCACCGCACAAAATAGGCGACGACGGTGGCGCCCTCACGGTGCCAGAAATGGCACGCATTTCTTGTCTGGGAACGCCACAACCACCGCCTTTACTGTCTTTGATGCTGCATGTCTCAAAAGGGGACCAGGCATGGGCGCACGCAGTCGGTGAGCCATGGTTGGCGCCGGCGGGAAGGACAACGTGGGATCACGGGAAAGGGGGGGCTGTGAGACGGGCGGCCGTTTGGTGGATCGGCTAGATGCGTCGCAAAGAGGGCTGAATTGGGCCATGCTGGGGGATCTCGGTGAAGCCCAGGTCGACGAGCATGGGTGGGGAGGGTGATGGGCGGCTGAGGAAGGTCGCCACGGGACGTTTCAGAGTTGAGGAACAGGATGGGGGACGCATCGACGAGACATGAGCCATGGGCTATGTGACGGTGCGGCCAGAGGATGAGTTGAGATGCAGCATCCATCACAGTCGGCTCTCGATGCCTCGGTAGTTGCTGTCATCGGCCCATTGCGAATCTGGCCAAACAAGGCGGATGGCCTCCCAGATATGGCTGTTCAAGACATGCGTCAGTGATACGAACTTCTCGTCCTCGGGGTATAGAAAGTGGCGGAGCGTGCCACGAAGGGCACGTTGATGAAGCACGGGGGTAGAGGGCATGACTTACTTGACATGGAGGATCTCGAGTCCATCCTTGACCTCCTGCGGTAGATCTTTGACGTCCTTTCGGTTTTGAGCCGGTAGTAGCACCGTCTTGACTCCCGCTCGGAGGGCGCCGATGAGTTTCTCCTTGATACCTCCGACGGCTGTGACTCGGCCCCGGAGAGAAATCTCGCCCTGTTACACACAAGACTGTCAGTGTACCGACTCATCGCGGTTGACTTGTTGCTTGGGAACCTACCGTCATGGCCATGGTCGGTGGCACCGGCTTGCCCGAGAAGAGGGAGATGAGTGCAATGGCCTGGCCGATGCCACTGCTGGGACCATCCTTGGGAATGGCTCCCGAAGGACAGTGTACGTGGATGCTGCGCTCCTTCATGATGTCAGTTGTTGGCTCTGGTGTAAGGCCCAGCTCGAAAGCATGTGCCTTGACCCATGTTAGTGCCACTTCGACGCTCTCCTTGAGAACGTCGCCCAGCTTTCCTGTTAGCTGGACTCGTCCGTTGCCGGGCATGTCAGCAACCTCGATGAAGAGGATGCTGCCATTGCCACCGGTGCTATAGGCGACGAGACCCGTCACAATGCCCGGGCGGCTTGTCTTTTCAGCAATCTCCTCCTCGAACTTCTCAATGCCCAATATGTTTTCAATATCCTCCACTGTAAGATCCGAGCGGTACTCTTCAATGTGACCCCCGTCCTTGGCCTCGGCGAACTCCACAGCTTTGGCACGGCAAACGGATCCAATCTCACGCTCAAGATTACGGACTCCGGATTCACGAGTGTAAGACTCGATGATCTTGGACACAACGTCCTGGTTGAAAGCAACCTGGGTCTCGGCAAGTCCGTTGACCCTGATCTGCTTGGGCACCAGATGCTGCATGGCAATATGGCGTTTCTCCAGAGTGGTGTAGCCGGGGATGTAGATGGTCTCCATTCGATCCAGGAGAGGGGCGGGAATAGTCTCCAGGCTGTTGGCAGTGGCGATGAAGAGGATCTTGGAAAGATCAATTGGCATGCCGACGTAGTGATCCTGGAACGAGTGGTTCTGCTCGGGGTCAAGAACCTCGAGCATGGCAGCTGAGGGATCGCCGTGGATGCTGGCTTGTCCAATCTTGTCGATCTCGTCGAGCAAGAAGACGGGGTTGGCAACACCCACCTTTCTTAGCCCCTGAACGATCAAACCAGGCATGGCCGCAACATAGGTTCTTCGATGACCACGGATCTCGGCCTCATCTCTGACGCCTCCGAGCGAAATGCGGTGGAATTTGCGGCCCAGGGCCGTAGCCACTGACCGCGCAAGACTTGTCTTGCCCACACCTGGAGGTCCTGCTAGAAGCATGATGGGAGACTTGTCCACCATACGCTGGGACTTGAGAATCTGAAGCTTGGCTACATCGGGCTTCACGGCCTCGACTTCTGAGCTTGCGTCGGCCGTCTCTTCTTTCTCTCCCTCTTCCCTCTTCTCCTTCTCCTTCTCTTGCTGGTGACGCGCTTCAGCTTGGGCTTCCTCCTCCGCCTGCTTTATCTTCTCGTCGACATCATCATTGATGGATTGTTTCAGTCTCAGAACGGCCAGGTACTCAATAAGCCTCTTCTTGACGTTATCCAGTCCGTAGTGGTCCTCATCTAGCTGCTTCCTTGCCTTGTGCAGGGTGTCAGGACCGAGGCGGTCATCAGTCGTGGCTGTCCAGGGAATTTCGGCCAGAGTTTCCAACCAGTTTCGGGTGACTTGGTATTCCTGGTTCATGGGCTGCATCTTCTGGAGTCGGCGCATCTCCCTCTCTACCGTCTTGGCGGACTCTGCGGGGAGCTTTGCATTTTGAAGCTTGCGTTTGAGTTCATCGAGCTCGTTGGCCTCTTCATCGTTATTTTGGTCGTGGCCGCCGGGCATCTGAGCGCCGGGAGGCACAAAGGTAATGCCGGGAATGTTGGGAATAGGGCCTGTTTTTCGCTGCTGGTCCTCGTTTAACCGGTCGAGGATTTGGACGGGCATTGTGGTGAAAGTAGTGATCTTGAAGTTATTCTTGATGCCGCCAACCTGACGCTCCAACAGTTCAATGACCTTGGTGAGGCGCACCTTGACATCCAGAGCGGCGATAACCTCGAGCTTCTCCTCGTGCGTGCTCTCGACCAGATTGGCCATGAAATCGGCGAGAAGACCGGCTTCCTTGAGCTCCCTCCTCATGATGAGCATCTCGAGTCGTCGTGTAAGCACTGGCGAAAGTACTGGTCCAGCCTTGGTTCGGGGGAGAAGAGAGGAAATCCTTAGAATGGTGACGAGTTCACGGGATCGCGTTTTCAAAAGGTTGAAGAGGTCTTGTAGTTGCTTATCGGGAGGAGTGGTGGCTGTAACGGGGATAAGTGGGTGATCATTGACGAGATGACGACGGTTGACCTACTGTCTTCTTTAAAGAATGTAACCTTTGCTTCAAAATAAGGACGCTCTCTAGTGAAGCTATCGATACGGATTCGCGTGACGCCTTCAACGCGCAAGGCGAACTCCCCGGTACCTCTTCCATCGATGCCAATGATCTTGGCCTCGACACCAAAGTTGTAGAGGTCCTCCTTGCGCGCAGATCCGGGAAGAACATTTTCAATCTCTGCAGGATCTATGTCCTCAGCATCGCCGATGAGACGCTGGCCATTGGGGCCGACCAGAGGTGACGAGATGGGGACACAGCCGATGGGGATGCTATCGATTCGCGTGTCGGGGCCCTTGGTGGCGGCCTGCTCGTAGACGTGGGCGAGGAGGGCGGGGACGTCGGGTCGGTTGGACGAGACTGGAATGCGCTGGACGAGACCGGGGAGGAGGATGGTGCCTCGTGCGAGCGGTATCAGGGGCAGAGTTCCGGTCTGCGGCTTGGACATGACGACACGAGACGCGGCGGCTGCTGGAGATTAAGGGGATTAGAAGACGGGAAGAATCAACGCTTGGCAGAGAAACAAATTAGGGACGATGGCGGGTTCTGCTCTGATGGACAATTCAGATGGATACGCGAACGGACGGAAGTGATGGATGGATTGGATGGATAGATAGATAGATAGATGGATGGCCGATAGATGACCGTTGTTGGTCGCGGAAAAGAAACCTGGAGAAACACGGGGGTCAAGGCCGAGGCCGGGGTCCGTTGCCGCTGTCGCTTCATCCGTGTCCACTTTTGATGTGATGCCGAGGCTAATGCGAACTGGAAGCTGCCAATTATTTGACGATTTCCATATGTGATGCTCTCCTTTTTTGAGAAGAGGAGGGGGGAGCTTTCGGGAAGCTCCCACGGCTTCTCACCGATGCCATCGTCTTCCATGATGCTAGCCGGACATCCCGTTGTTGGTGACCTGATGTTCGCATCCACTACGGGGAAGCGTTCCGCTAGATGGATGCATGATGAGATCGAAGTCGTACCTTTGAATTGTGTCAAAAGCCATCTAGCCAATGGTGTTTTCTTTGATCCAGCTTCAAGACGTAAAAGATTGTGGCGCTCTCCTTGATTCATTCTGTCGTCCACATGTCACCACCCTCCAGCTTCTCCTCAGCTTTCAAGCTTGGTGATGGCTTGGCAATCGCTTCTCAAATGGCACGTGCTCGAGCTACCTTCCGTGAATGACTAAGGCAGAAGCTGCCCCACACCGTGAATCGCGGGGCAAACCCATTAAACCTAGGCGCGTTTTAACGCGTCTTCTATTCTCCACGAAGCTTGCATCCTAGTCTTCACGCTCAACCTACATCACACAATTATCACAATGTGTATGTGCAACTTCTCACCTCACCCTTTGTGGATCCCGACTGACAATCTGCTACAGCTGCCTACGCTGGATTCACAAAAACAGGTTACGGCCAAGGGGGTGATGACTCGGGCGGTTTCTTTGCTGGAGGCTCACAGCAGGGCAGCCAGGGCGGCGGTGGCGGCAAGGTACGATGGCATCACTCACGATTCACCCACAGCTTCTGACGATCTGTCTCTACAGTCATACCAAGATGAATCTTTGCGTCCCGTCACAATAAAGCAGATCCTCGACGCCGAGGAGGCCTTCCAGGGCGCCGACTTCAAGATCGACGGCTCCCTCATCACCCAGATCACATTCGTCGGCCAGATCCGCAGCGTGACGCCCCAGCCCACAAACATTACCTTCAAGATCGACGACGGCACCGGCCAGATCGAGGTCAAGAAGTGGGTCGACGCCGACAACAACAACGAACCGGAGTTTGAGCTCGACTCTCACGTTCGTGTCTGGGGACGCCTCAAGTCCTTCAACAGCAAGCGGCATGTCGGCGCCCACGTCATCAGACCCGTCGAGGACTTCAACGAGGTCAGCTATCACATGCTCGAGGCCACATACGTTCACCTTTACTTTACCAAGGGTCCTCTTGGTGGTCAGGGACCAGCCAACGGTGAAGGAGACAGCATGTTTGTCGACGGTGGCGGCTACAACGACCAGGCTGGTGGAAATGCAGCACCTTCGAAACTGTCCGGATGCTCTGGTCTAGCCAAGAAGATGTTTAGCTTTATGAACGACGCTCCTGGCGGCAACGAGGGTGTTCACATCAACGGTATTACCAGTTCTACCGGCCTGTCAGTGAGAGACGTTCTCACTGCTGCGGACGAGCTGCTCGGCCAGGGTCTCATTTACACAACGGTCGATGACGAGACATGGGCAATCCTCGAGTACTAGGTTGAGTAAAGGTCACGAAGGAGGAGGAGGTTGTCGACGTCTACTCGTACAAATCTACAAAAAGCTAGGTGCAAACGGTGTTGACTGTTATAGGCGGGATCAGCTTATGAAGGAATGACGATTTTATTTGTTTTCTTTCTTCCTAATGAACGACTCGAGCTAGTCCAACAACTGCAAAGCAATGCAGAAAAAAATAGAGCAATAATTGCGGTAAAGACTGGCGGTCAGCAAATGTTGGCCAAATCGAAGCAATCCAAGATCCTCTCCCTTATCCATGTGCTCATTCTTATTGTTCCCAGAGAATCAAGGTCGATCGGTCAATACATTTCCTCACTCAAATTTCAAGAACTCACATCACAACGCACTCAGGTCCATGTGCTAGTCTTGCACCACCCCCCAGCTCCTCGACATACTCGAGTTCCTCGACGACAGCCTCTGATCCCTCGTCGGCCTTTGGCTGGACCAGAGGCTCGTTTCCCTAGAACTTTACCGTGGCCATGACGGCCGGGCCGCAGGACTGTCGAGGGGTCTGGGGCTCGCGGACCATGATGTACATGGTGATGGGCTCCGGGCCGTTCTCAAAGACGACGGGCCGCTTGACCTTGAAGCCGAACTTGGCGTAGTATTCGCTGTTGCGCTTGGTGCTGGCTTCAAGGTACATGGGGCGGTTCTCGGCGTCGGCCTGAGTGAGTGTAAGTGTGTACTCTGAATTCCTTTTCAGTTATTTCCTACCTTGGCAACCATGTCGCGGATCAGCTTGCCCGCGTATCCCTTGCCTTGAGCAGCGGGCTTGGTACCGATGTAGACGAGATAGTAGCAGTCCTTGTCCCTCTCACCCATGACCTCCTCCTTGGTCTGGTTCAGCACAGGCAGCATCTCATCGTAGTAGCGTCTCCTGCCCTCGGCCGAGAGCTGGTAGTACAGCCTCCACATACCGCTGCGCAGCGACGTCCACCAGTCATCCATCTGCTGACCAGGAGGCAGCCTGACGACGCATGTTAGCTAAAGCTTGTTTCTCAAAGACACGAGGGGGAAACCTACCACAGAGCAACAGCGTCGTAGTCGGACCCGATGGCCGTTACGACGCCTTTGTAGCAGTGAGCCGCCACCATGTACGTCATGTGGTCGACATGAAGCTTCCACTTCTGCTCGTCCGAGTAATCCGCCATGTCGTCGCCGTCGAGCACATACTGACTCATGGCGTCGGTCGCAAACGCGTGCGCCAGCGACCTGCCCGCCTCGGCCGACTCGTTGACGCTCACAAAGCGGATCGAGTCCTCCCACGAGGGCGGCACGAGAGACCGGCGTCGCCACTTGGCGAGGGCTGAGGCGCCGCTGAGATTATGACTGATACTCTTGGTGGTTGTAGTTCCCTCCATGATGAACCAGTTATTTACTCGGTACTAGAACTGATGGCGGTATCTAGAAAACACAGGGGCTCCCCTTTTTGCAAAGAGGGGAGCGCCGCGGGTGGCATTAAGCATGATGGGTTCAGAACTCATCAAGTCCTAGACTCACATTGTATATTTTGGATACTATCGCCCGTGTGAACCCGCGAGAGCTGAGTTCTGGAGACGGGCGTAAACCTCGAAGGATGACGCAGACAGTTAAGGCTTGTGCGAACTTCAACCGACATCAAGTTGATGCTTGAGCGGGCCAGGCTCGCGATTATGGCTTAAAGGGGAGGAGGGGGGGATGTAGGTGTCGAACGGACGTCGATCGGTTCGATCGAGTTTCTCAATGTGGGCGTACGATAGGTTCACGAGGGCGAGCTGAGAGGAAGAGTTGGAGAGAGACAAGTTGACAAAGAAGAGAGGCACGAGAGGTTTCAGATGATAATGTTGACTGAACAGTGGTTCACCATGCAGAGGTTGGTGCTCAGAGTAGCAATCAACAAGCGGCAACAGCAGTAGCAAGACACCAAGGTGGCTATTCTTTCCAGCAATCCCCTTCTAAGAGAGAGCTTAGCAAGATTTCCTGACAAAGGGTCCTGTTAGTGAGGCCAAGTTGTGGTATGGGTAGAATGACTTGAGGTAAAGTGAAGTATGAGAGTAAGAGGTAGGTAGGCAGTTGGGAAGAGGAGAGAGAAGCAAACAGAGATAGGCAATCGGCCGAGGGGGTTTATGTAGGGCGGGCGGGTGATAGATAGAAGTGCCGTGTGGACCCCAATGGACGGCAGCGTAGATACGGCACAACTCCAAGACTCGGTGATGCCATTGGTCGGTTTACAGATGACAGCCACTTCGTGGGGTAACGGCTAACGTTAGCTCTCCCGAGTCATACACGAAAGGGAGCGGCAAGAGGGCAGACGGGGCGTTAGGGAATCGAGGAAGCGGGAGACGGAGCACAGTGCTTGGTCCATGAGGCGCCCTGGGTGACCACATGACCATGGATGACCGGTGGGGGGCAACCCTGCAGAATCCGTGGAATACAGGCAAGCCATGCTGTGAAGCTGTCTCAGAGGCCTTGGATCAGCCAGTCAGTGTGAAGTTGCTGACTGTTTTTGTGGCTCCTTGACGTGGGAGAATGGGACTGAGCCATGGAGATTCCTCAGGCTGTGGGGATGAACGAGAGCTCTGGCGTCAGCTGTGGTCCAGTATAGCCAAGGACGAGCGTGAACCTACGCCACCTGGTGCAGGAGATGGGAGGGCCTCATGCGCAGGGCATCCTCTCATTAGTCAAAGATAGCCGGCTCCGGGTCGAGGTGCTTTGTTGATTGAGGAGCACATGTGCCTCCTTGGCGAGGGCTGAATCGGTTGGCGCGGTTCAACCAAAGTTGACCGGCAGCGTCCAAAGACATTGATTGTCCCGTCTGTCTTGGATGGCAGCGGCTTGCAACGGCATCTGAGGTCACCGGACTAAGAATGTACTGTGCAACTTGTGAGTTGTGATGAGCTCGGATGAGGCGGGAAAGAAGCAATTTGGGGTCTCAAGTATTGATGTACAAGACGCCAATCGCTCGTGTATGAAGAGTAGTAAATCATGATACTTCGATCGACATTGCAGCTATCTCTGAGAACTGTCAGGGTTTTGCTGGGTTCCCGAAGCAATAAGTTGCTGCGTCGAAGAAAGTGATGAACGTAAACGACGTCAAATTAAAAAGCGGCTCTGTACCCCTCGTGAGATCCGATCTGATCTAGACACGGCGGAGGCGCGAGAGCGGATATCTATGCTGATCGACCGCGAACAGCCTATGCAACCGCTACCTGATTCTTTCCTTCGTAACTCTTTTTGGCAATCATCTTGTCTCTCCTGTCGTCCTGTTTCGCTTCGGAGGTTTCTTTGTCTCGTTATCCGTGGTTCGTTACATGCGGCGAATCTCCTGCTCGTTCAGGTACTTGTCCAGGCCGGAGTCGAGGTTCTCCCACCACTCAAACAGCATCGAGTTGCAGATGAGCTTGAACCAGGGAGTGAAGACCAAGCTGGGGTCGTCGAATTGCTTCTTGAGCTTCTCTGGGCTGACGTACTGGGTGTCCCTGACCTCGTTCTTGTTGACGTCGAGGTCGACATTGGCCTTGATGAACAGAATATAGTCGACTAGGTTATAGTTAGATATGATACCCTCGCATCAAGAGACTAGTTGTAAAACATACTTTCATGCTCACCCCACTTTCCGTCGCTGGGAGCCTTGTAGTGAATTCGAGTCAGGAAGTGGAACTTCTCGAAAGGAACCTGCTCCTTCTTAATGCCCAGCTCGTGGTCGAGCTTGCGCTGAGCGGCCCTCTTGACACCATCAATGGCATCCTCGAGGCTCGATCCCGTCTCGGTAGGGATGTTGAGAGGGTGGGAGCAGCAGGTGTTGGTCCACATGTCGGGGAAGGTGATCTTCTCGGTGGCGCGCTGCTGAAGGAGCAGTTCGTTCTTATCGTTGAAGAGGAAGACGGAAAAGGCACGGTGGAGGAGGCCCTTGTCGATGTTGGTCATGAGATGGCCTGTAGGTGATCGAGTTAGCAAGGCAAATGATTCGGGGTGTAGCTGAGGCGCAACGTACAAATCTTCTTGCTGGCAGTGCCAATTGGCTTGTCGTTCTCGTCGAGGACGATGCAGACCTCATCCATGAGGCGGATCTGCTCCTCATCGTGACCGGACAAGGGCTCGGAGCTGGTGTCAATGTCAGGGAAGAGACGGAGCATAGCCTCAGCCGTGATGGGCTGGGCAGTGACGGTTGTTGTTGTTGACATTGTGACAGAGTTGAGACAGTACAATTGCGCAATGCTTCAAAAGGAGAGAGAGTCTTTGCGGTGAAGGCGACAGAAAGAGAGCGGTCTGTAACAAGCAAGAGATGGTTTAGCTTCAATTTAAGGTCATTTCCTTTGCCTTGTGCCCCTCCAAAGGCTGCTCGGGTGTGGCAGCCGTGCCCCTCCATCTTGCCTGCCATCGATTGGGCAGTCCACTGAAGCCAGCCACTGGGAGACGATTCCTGGGGGATGTTCTGGGGGCTCATGCCAGGGACAGTGGGGCTCAACCACAGCCAGCTCGGTGAGACTCGTCTGGGGATAGTGTCGTTGTTGCATGATCATGTAGTTGGAGCAGTAGCTGTAAAGCCCAAAGTGGAAGCCCAGAGGCATATATGAATTGCTTTTCATGAGGTACTATCGACCATCAGGAATATGTCAAGTATGCAGCTGAATTCAGGGGTTGAACTAACACAGCCTTTAGTAGCTGCATGCATAGGTTCTCTCCATCGTCATTTGAATTTAGCATGTACACCATACCTACCTACCTACATACGTATGAATCTCGTGCCAGTTAATCACGGCCAGGCAAGTGAACGGCCTGTCATCTCTCATCACCCAGGTCATGACACCCATGGGAGAATGATGGCCGAGATGAGATTACTTATTGAACTAACTTGGATATCGCTCTAAGCGGGGACTGGCGGAGCTGCGGCCTCTCCATCCCATCCATCAGGGGAAAGCAGCCCAAGGCGTGGCTGGAGACGGAGCTTCGTCATTCGCAACCTCACGCCCCGACCCGACACCGACATCATCTCTCCGCCGTATTCCACATTCTGCGGTCGCCGCCAAACCGATTGCTACTTAATTCTACTCTGCAAATAATCCGATCTTCCCCTTTGTCCTTGATACTCTTGTCGCCTACGTCCACAGTCGCCCAGCGCCATCCGACGCAGCCATGGCTCCCAAGATCGAAGCGCAAGAAATCGAAACTTATTGGAACATCTTTTCCGCCCGGACAGGCGGCGGCAAGTTCCTTACAGGAGAGCAGGCCGCCCCCGTGCTCAAGAACAGTGGCCTCCGAGATGATCAACTGGAGCGAGTATGGGATCTGGCAGATGTGGACAACGATGGAAACCTCGACTTTGAGGAGTTCTGCGTCGCCATGCGCGTCATCTTTGACATCCTGAACGGGGTATGGTTCTGTCGCTCAAGGACCTTTGTGACACGGCAGCTTACCTAGCACAGGAATACGCAGACGTTCCCACCACCCTGCCCGATTGGCTCGTCCCAGAGTCCAAGGCCCATCTGGTGCAAGCGACCCGGGCCATCACTGGCAAGCAAGTGCAGTTCGAGCAAGTTGAGGATGAAACAGAGGACCTCGGCCTCAAGGACGGCTTCGAGTGGTACATGAAGCCCGAGGACAAGTCCAAGTACGAGCAGATTTACCAGGAGAGCCGGGACATGCGCGGCGAGATTTCTTGTACGTCCCCTGATTGAATCTCAAGGAGCATGAGCTAATCGACACAGTCAACTCTCTCGGCGATCTCTACGAGTCCCTTGACGTTCCCGATACCGATATTAGATCCGCATGGAACTTGGTCAACCCATCTGCGCAATCAACCATTAACAAAGACGCCGCCCTCGCATTCCTACATATCCTCAACTACCGACACGAGGGTTTCCGAATCCCGCGCACCGTCCCTGCCTCTCTCCGCTCCAGCTTTGAGCGCAACCAGATCGACTACCAAGTCGACAACCAGCGAACCGGCGCCAACTCACGATGGGCTACCAAGGCCGACGACTCGACCGCCACCGGGCGCAAGGCCAAGTTTGGCGACCAATACCTTACGCGCCTAGGCCGCAGCGGTTTCAAGACTGCGGGCACAGATTTCTCGACGGAGAAGACGGAAGATTGGGAAGAGGTGCGACTGAAGCGCAAGCTGCAGGACCTGGAGGAGAAGATGAAGAAGGTGGAGGAGATTGCCGAGCGCCGGAAAGGCGGCAAGCGTGATTCAAAGCCCGCACTTGTCAAGAAGGAACTTGATCAGCTACTTGAATACAAGCGCAGGGAATTGAGGGAGCTAGAGGAGGGAACGGGCAAGAGTGCGGTAGGCGGTGGTCTTAAGAGCATACAGGAGGATCTCCAGACAGTTCGCGAGCAGGTCGAGGGTCTAGAATCACACCTGCGGTCGCGCGAGCAGGTGCTCGAGGAGATCCGGAGGGAGATTGAGGACGAGAAGAGGTAAAGGGGAGGTCGTATATAATCGAGGGTTGGCGGGCTCGCTGTTTATTGTGTAGGAATATCATGGCGTTTTCTTTAATGGGACGTTAGGCGTTGTTGCTCTAGTCATTCGACTTCTAACATCAATCGTCACCACATACTCCCATCCGCATACTTTTGCGTACGCTCCATGCCTAGAGTACGGCCCTTGACTGCCCACACAGCGAGAGACGGTACGGGCACGACTCCTAGTCGTCCAGCTCCGCGACTTCGACCTGTGGAGCATAGGAAGGCATCCACGAGGGGACCACTCACAGACTGTGCTGGCTTGTCCTTGAGCGCAAGGTCGATGTTCTTTGCGACGCCTGCGGCCTGGGCGTCGGTGATCATAAAGGCCGCCCGCGGCTTAGACACGACGTCTCCCACAGCCCACACGCCATCACCAGCAGCCTTCACACGCATCTCCTCGTCCACATCCACATAGCCGTGCTCGTTTAGCCACTCCTTTGGCAAGAACCCCGTGTTAGGCCGGAGTCCCATGGTCGGGAGGTACAAGTCCGTCTCAAGAACCCCGCCGTCCGAGAGCGTAACCCGCGTCTTGCCGTCCGGCAGCTCCGTTGCGGAATCGGCGCGGACGCTCGCTCGGATCTCAACGCCCAGCCGGCGGAGTTCGGCCTCGACGCACCCGGCTATCTGATCCCCCGCGACGACGTGGTCGTCTGATGAGATGAGCACCACCGTTGTAGATGGAAAGGCGTAGCGGATTTCGCCAGCGAGCTCGACTCCAGTAGCACCAGCGCCGGCGATGACAATATGCTTTGCCTTGTCGATTTTGGTAGCCGTGTCGTGAAGACTGTCAAGGAGCTCTTCATGCGAACCGCCGGCCTTCCAGGGGAGTGCCGGGTCAGCGGCGTCGGCGCCTGTAGCGACCACAAGGTGGTCATATGTAAGTACCGGGCCCGGGCCGCCGTCCTTATCAACGCGGACGGTGCGGGCCGCTGGGTCAACGGCGGAGGCGGCGCCGACTATGAACTCAACGCTGCCGGCCGGATACTGTGCCAGACCAGGCTCAATAGGAGCGAGGATTTGGTCGTCTTTGATTACGCCAGGAATAACGGCACGAACGGAAGCCAGGTTCCAATAGAAGTGACTGTTCTACTAGAGTGAGCTTTGAGGATTGGCTTGTGAAAGTGGTTGGGTTTTTACCTTGGACACGAGAATCACCTTGAGGTCTTCCTCATGGGGCCGCGTGTACTTGAGTAGACGGTGAGTAACAGCCATGCCACCAAGGCTACCACCCAAAACGACGACGGTCTTTGTCATTATTGTGAGCTTGACTGATGTTGATTACTCTTGTTTGTGTTTGAGGTTATGATCCCGTGTGAGTGAGTTTGACTGATGAGAGCTGGATGTAAAGGGAGACGTCGTCGATCTCGGAATAATTCCATGTTTGTCTATGACGAGCCGACGTATGGCACGCAGCCTACCTAGAGTGTTTCATAGCTGAATCATGGTCCCTCCATAGGTATTCTACTCAACATGATGCCGGCAGTGTTGCAGCTTCTGTCACACCAATAAACTCGCACATCATCTTTAAGCTGTTGAAGCCGAGGCATCTTTGACTCTTCTTGTCCATGATCATCCGCTGATGCTCGTGCCTTGTTCGGGTAACGCCGCGCATTACCCGACTCACGTAGAGCGAGCGCTGCTGCGCCTGACCCCTCCATGGCAATCCCATGACCCCGCTATAACCCGCACCGCCGGGGGGGGAAACAAGGCCAAGTTCCTCAACAATAATCCCAACACCCGCAACTTCGTCATTTCCTCTTCTCCTCTTACACAGATACCAGAAACAACTCACCTTCTACCTCTAATCAACAACCTTTCTTCTCTAAATATCATGGCTGCCCCCCAGAGCGACGCCTTCAAGAAGGCCATTGAGGACTCCAAGAAGCTCACCTCTAAGCCCGGCCCTGACGAGCTCCTCCAGCTCTACGGTAACCGCCACCATTCCCCCTCTTCTCGTCCCAGCTAACATGTCTTTTCTCGTACAGCTCTCTACAAGGTCGGAACTGGTGAGGACTTTTCCAAGGCCACTGCCCCTGGCACCTTTGACTTCAAGGCAAGCTCCCTCTATACCCCGCCGACCTCAACCCAAAGCTAACACACTCCTTCAGGGCAAGGCCAAGTACAACGCGTGGAAGAAGGTCGTCGACGAGGGCGTCACCCCCGACGCCGCCCAGGAGCAATACGTCAAGCTCGTCGAGGAGCTCAAGGAAAAGTACGGCTACGACGAGAACAAGGTGCCCGAGGCCGTCGGCCAAAACTAGAACGAAATAGAAGAAGACGAAATGTTTCACACGATGCGATGAGGTCAAAGAGTAGGGAAACACTGGTAACACATACATACATGAAAGAAACAAGAATAAAGCTTGGAATGGAAATGGGAGGGCCGTTTTTGCTATCGGTTGCGCTGTGTCTGCACGCGCCGTGTTTAGTTGCTGAGAGAAATCATACCCAGTCGCTTTCTCATCTTGATTCGTGTCATTGAGAGCTTGAAACTGACGCCATCTTGTGACTTGCTACACCATCACCTCCATATTTACACTTTGGTTCCTGGGGTGGCTGATGGCTGCTTTCGGGAGCGGCCGCATCATCCTGGAACCCTGGAGCCAGCCTGTCGGTGTAAGATAAGATGATCTAATCTCGACCCCGTCAATACCCTGAGCTCTTAATCATCCTTGGCCTCTTACTACTAATATTGCCAAGCTACGGATCATCATCTCTCTGCAAACCTCACAAGACAAGCAGGAACCTTCACTCAAGCGTGTGCAATGTCGAGTAAAATTGTCTACCAGGGCAATTATTAGGTCAAGTAGGGTCACGGAGCGGAGACTGTAGCTCTCGCTCCGTGAGGAATAGTAACTAAGATTCAAGTGTAAAGTAGGTACTAGGTACCTTGGGTATACGAAGGTCGTGTACCAGACGTCAAAGCATTCCAAGCACTTGTGAGCGTTTCTCATTTCGTCCATCTCATCCTCTTCCTCCTTCCTTTCTTTTCCTTACCAAACACACAAAAAACACCAAGCCCAACAACTCCGGTTGAAATTCGAAAAAAGGGGGTATGATCATCAGAAGGGTATTAGAAGCTCGACATTGCAACACGGGGTTTTTCCAATAGTCGTCATCTCAAATGCACCAAGCCTCCAGTCGCTCTCTTCATCATAAACTCGTAAATATCGTGGCGACGCCGAGCACGTCGTATCCGAAAGGCGACTCAAGAGTTGCCAACGCTTCCACGGATAGAGCTTGGTTTAGAGGAGGGCGAAGACACCAGCAGCGACAAGGAGCAGAGCGCTCACACCAGTGGTGGCGGCACCACCTGTGGCCTGAGTAGGCTCACTGGTTGCTGTGGTCTCGATAGGAGCAAGGCCAGTCTCAGAGGGCTGAGTAGGGACGGCACTGGCGATGGTGCTGTTGGAACCACGCCAGGCAGTGCTGTAACCAGAGCTGGGGCAAGGAGTGGTGGTCTTCACAACGACCTCGGTCTTGGTCTTAGCAGTGACAGCTTTGGTCGTAGGAACAGCGATGGTGGTAGGGGTGGTAGAGGTGGTTTCAGAGGTGGGAAGAGAGGTGCTCGTGATGAGAACAGTGGTGGAGATGGTCTTGAGCTCAGAAGTGGTGGTAGCAGGCTTAGAAGTGGTGAGAGGCGAGTCGGTCTCGAGGCCGTCCTTGACGCCGTAAGCAGCCGCACACTGAACCAGGTCCATCGAGTCAGGGCAGCACCAGGTCTGGGACTTGGTGTCATGAGTGCAGTAGTAACCATCATCGCAAGAGTCTAGAGCGAGGTTAGTTCATCCATCTTTTCGTGTAAGCCGAGTCTGGCGCAACATACTTCCAGTGCCATCAGAGCAGCACTTCTGCTTGGCCAGGGGGTTGTAGCAGTGAGTGGAATCGTCGTTGGAAGGGCACGTCTCGTAGCCCTGACCGCAAGCTTCGGCGCAGGTGCTGCCGTCGCCGCAGGTAGACTGCTCAGGCTGATACCCGGGAGTAGAGCGACGCGCGAGACTGAGGCCCTCGACGGGGGCCTTGACCAGCTTGTAAGGCTGGGGGTCGGCGGCGACGTTTGTGGCGCAGGCCAGGAGGACGACCGAGGCGAGAGTCTTGAAGTTCATCTTGACGGACGAGAAGGACTGAAGTCGAAAAGAATATAGTCGAGTTTGAAGCGCTTACACGATGCGATGCGATCTGGCAGGCAGGGAACGAGAGCCACAAACAGGGTTTCGTGGTGGAGAAGCAGTGAAGCGAGTAAGTGAGTGAGTGAGTGTGCAAGATGCTAGGTCTGTAAGACTAGGATCGAGTAAAGATGCCGTGTTCAAAGGATGATTTGAAAGAATGGATCGAGTATCGACAGATGCGAATCTCTAGGCAGGACAACGACAACAGCAACAACAACAAGGACGGAGAGTGTGGAGGAGGGTGATGGTTGACGAGATGGGGGCCATCTCGGTGTAAGTACTCATTTGAGGGTGCCACTGGCAGTGGCCGCGAGGGAAAGCACGCCAAGGAAAGAAAGGCTCAAACGCGACCTAGAACCACAGCCAGAAGGAAGCCAGGCCAGGGCATCGCGAGAGAGTCCGGCTGGTTGGGAGGGGAATGGGGTCCTCGTCTCAAGCCTCCCATAGGCTAGATCGAAGGGTAGGGGGGCGCGTGCTTGGCCATGGATCCCATCTCCTTTTTTAATTTAAATTGTGTCCCCCCCCCTCGCTCGACGTTTTGCCTCCATCGCGACCTTGGGCTGCCCGGCGCCTAGCCTATTGTGGGAGCGTTGAGGGGTAGGGCAGTTGAGGCCCTTGTAGAGAGGGTTCTCTTGCGACGAGACATGTTTTGACGAAAGAGTTTCCTAGTCTTTACATCCTCGTCCCAAGACAAACATGGTGTTTCATGCAAGAGGAACACACATGTCCATGCGCCGGGCAATTAAGCAATTTGTCCGAGTCGAGTCGAGTGTCTCTAGTCTGCGAGATTTTCGACGCCAGATCCCCATGATCGTCAGTTGCATCAAATGAGGGCTGAACTGGTTGTGTTAATTAGCCACTCACCGACCTGCCAGACCAGACCCTGTTGGATCCGTGGCACGGCATAGCGCATTAGACCGCTTCAAGAGTGCAATCTTGGGGAAGAAAGAGAGAAAGCCTCTTGACGTCAACGAGTGATATTGCAGCTTTCAAAGCTCTTTGACATGGGCTCTCAAGGCCCTACTTGCCTCTTCTGGTAGGTCCCTCCAGTCGCAATGTCACCCGTTGACGCCTTTAATTGGCCAAATTGCTACCGCCCGGCTTCAGGGGTCCTGCCAACCAGGTGCAGGTGCTAGCCGAGGCCCGTTGCGCTAGGAAGCCGCCTGATGCAGGAACCAGGAACAGGCCACCACACAGAAGCAAGCAAAGGATAGATACCTACTGGGTGGACAAACAGGTTGCACAAGCTTGACAAGATGAAGAGAATGAACAAAGAGGAGGAGAAACATTCATGGTAGACGTGGCTCTTCTACGGCTAAACTGTCCTCCCTGCTACTTGTAGAACTCTTCTTATTGGCTCTCCCACTCACACGACACCACCCGGGTTTCAGGTTATTCCATGAGCCAGGTCATGGGCCATTAGCTTCTCGACAAGATGACAGGGATGTCAAGGGCTGGACCGAACGAGAACGTCAGTGGCAATCTCAATTTCAGAGTCTGTCTCTTTGTCGAGTCCAGCTATTGTTACCAGACTGAAATCACTCTCCCCGACTCACCGGGCTGTTGTTAACCATCACCTGTGACACTCTGTCCATTCAAGTCAACAAACAGACCATTCATTATTCACACCATTTCCTCTTCACCGTCAGTATATAGTATTCTATGTTTAGACTTTGTATGCATCCATCCTCTGCCAACACATTGCTTTTCTATTTATTCCCCATCATGCATCACCATCAGGCCAGCTGCATCACATCCATGCCTCGCATCCAAACAAACCACCTAAAAATAAAAAAGCAAACCCGAGACAGACAACCTGACTCTCTTCTTTTCGTGACTCGCAAATCCTTTATGCCACTTTGCCCTTATGCATCTTGCCGTTCGTGTCAGTATAGTCCCGACGGCTGGCGACAAGTTTGCCGTCAAATTAGACGCCCTTGAGCAGGCCCAAATATACCGCAAATTTCTCTTCATCTCCAGCAACTCGGAACATCTGTACCTAGCCGTCCGGCGGGATAATTCACCGTGGTCAATAACACTTGACCCTTCAGTCTAGTTCCACTTGACTCACAATCCCCTCCACTCATCTGCATCACAGCATAGAAACGGTCAAAGATCATCCATCTCACTTGACCAGAGCAGCGACAACAAGGGTATCCCGAGAGATTATTATCTATCTTGGTACAACACACAAAGACACCGCCTATTCCCGTCTTGCCCTTGCCAAGTTTCCCAGAGACGCCTTGCAATGGAGCCTATTACACCAGGTACAATCTCATCCCTGGCCCATGAAAATCTCTCATCTGCTCCCTTTACACCGTGGAAACCGAGGCGAGCGAATACCCTAGTTACAGTAAAGCCGAGAAATAAACCAGCCTTCATGCTATCCCTTTTACACCGGGCTCCTTGACGGCGGCACCCCATCGTGCCTAGCCAATGTGTTCGAGGAGCCGTCAACTCGCTGCCAAAATGCTCGAGGGGACCAAATTAATCCTCGTCGCCAGTCATCTTGGCAACCCATTTGTTCATCTGCAGGAACTTTTCCTCAAAGGTCTTCTGGAGTCTCTCTCCAGCGGCCCACATAGGGTCTCCCTCCTTCCAGTACGTGAAGCAGTTCTCAAAGATCTGGCGAATGTCCCTCAGGAACTCATCCTCGTTTGCGTACTCCTTTCTGTCCATCTTGGCCTTGATGGTACTCAGATCCATGGGTCGCTTGACCTTGTCAAAGTAATCCGGCACGCCATCCTCGATGGGCTCAACAGGATCACGAAAGGGGCCGACGAGTCGGGTCCAGAAACCTGTGTAAGTTAGTTCCAGTGTCGAACAAGAAATGTGAGGATTCACGTACCAGGGCCAGATAGCATTCTGCTCAGGAGGTCGGCACAGAATTCCATCTTCCGTGCCGTGCTAAACTCGCGGCCGTCTGCGTAGCCCGCGCTGGTTCTACGCTTGACAGCGGGTTTGGGCAGCGTGACGCGAGCCTTGATGGATCTATCCGCCGACGAAGGGTTGCTGATGGGGATCCCACTGACTCGTCGGCTTTTCTTGGCCTCACTGTCAGGCTCGTCCTCGAGGTAGTGAACATTCTTTCGGGGTGTCGTAGCCGGCATGGTAGAGGGCACAACGATGGATTCGGTAGCCCGCTCTACCACGGGAGCAGTGTCGAAGGAGCTCATGGCAACGACAAGCTCGCTGAGGACCTCCTGGGGCAGCGACTTGGCAAACTCTGCTCGAGCATCCGAGGATCGCATGTACTCGGCCGTCCACGACAGGAGCAGCTTTCGGATCGAGGAGCCCTCGGGTGTGTCCTTCCAGACCTGGATGAGAAGAGGCGTCGCTGGGATTCTCTCAGTGAGACGTCGACAGTCAACCATGGCGTCGAGGGCCTTGTCACAGAGCCCCTTGATGCCCAGGTGATGGCCGAGCTTCCAGAGTCCAACCAGGGCCTCGTAGGAGGGCACATTGGACTCATCAGAGATGACCTTGTCGGTGTACAGAAAGTGTTGGGCCAGCCCAAAAATCTCCTTGGTCGTTTCGGGGAGCTTGACGAGGTGCTCTACCTTGTCAAGGGAGCTCATCGCAGCGAAGTGTTTCTCGTAGAATTCGGATCGCGCGCAGAGAAAGTCCTTCTGTATGCCAAAGGGACATTCTTCAGGGCCGACGAGGATGATGACAAAGATGGGATGAGGGTTGCTACATAGGATATTAGCACGATGTTCGTCCGGGGAAGGTATGACGTTACATACAGCCAGGAGAACGGCTTCTCCTCCTTCTTGACGACATTGACATTGACAGTGTCAGGTTCCTTGCCAGCTGGGGGACTGGTACCGTTCTGCGGTTCAGCCATTGCGATTGCGTGATGCCGGAATTGTTGTGATATGTAAAAGGTGAGGTTTGATATTGGAAGGATGTGGCTTTTAAAAGTCGTCGATATCTGATGCAGGCCTGAATCTGGTGGTGAGCAACTCATTCACGGTCGCTAGAACAATAGAATATTCGTGCCACTGTCCTGAACCGAATTCAACCCGTGCACTTGCATCGCCATTGACAGCCAGCTGACGATATGCAGTCCTGGTGGGGGCGATTTTGGGTGTTGTTGTATGCAGATGATTGATGATCTGCGGTTCACAGAGGTGTCTCAATCTTACCTCAACTTCCCCCAACTCCCGCGTTCAAAACTCAGATCCAATCTCACCCACTGGCAGACACACTTCGAATCCGGGTTCAAGGCCGATTGTGCCGCATCCGTCGGTCGCTAATTGTAAGTGAATCCAATAATTGTCAGCCTTTGGATAAAGGGGGTTGAGCAGCGATGAGGCAAAGGCTGGCCGTCTGTGATCTCCTGTTCGGAATGGATGGAGTGAGCAGCAGTCGCGATGAGCTTGTTGGCCAATGAGGTTGCTGAATTGCGCTGAGGTGAACCGGCATGGAGATTGTCCGTTTCCGGCTGACCTCGGTCAGGTGGGCTTGACCGAGAACTCGCTACCCTATACCAACTCCCGACCCTGATGAGAGATTGGAGTTACATGAGCGTGACAACTCAATGTCATTTTGCTACTTGCTATTGGCATCCCTAACAGGTTATGATCAGATTTGATGAAAATCTGACATGTTCTACTTAATAATCATGCTGCTTGCCCTCACCTCATGTTCAACCAACTTTGGCTGAGATAAACATGTCTACAAACATCAACACACCATTATCACAAAGTCGGTTGAGATGAGAAATCCAATGCAAGTAACAAAAGGACATTGCGAAACACACAGGGCTATAGCATATGGCATAAAACTCGAAACTGACAATCCCGGGAAGACATGAAACAAAGTCTCCAGAGATATCAAACCCAACCCATAATAGCCCCCAACTAAGATCACTGACAACTACCCCCATGGCCCAAATATGCATAGATAGAAAACACACCGGCATTGACGGTCTTGACAGCGGTACCCATCTCTTAGGCCGCCGAGTTTCCCCCTTATGGCACTGCCACTGTTACCGCTCATCACAGCCAGGATCCGACCGAGTATAGAAGGTGACGTTGTATCAGCTTTAGAGTTGCCCGACAACACATATCAAGGGGAGTTGATTCCCCGAGGACGACGGACGGGCCTACATGGCACACGTGTGTAAATTCATGCGGACTCTCATCCGCGGCAATGTCCAAAAGAGCCTGAGGAGCCCTTTAATGTCACGTCAGCATGGGACTTGAGAGTCGTGCCGGTTCAATAAGCCAATCGCTTGTTTTCTAAGCGAACAAATAAACAAAATTGAAAACCAAGGCAGCGAAATGCCTCTCTCTCGTTCCGCCGCGGCTAGGGATATCCTGACAAGCGAAACAGCCGGGGACGAACCCGCCAAGAGATGAATGACCATGAGCTCTCTCTCGCTCCGGCTTCGGCAACAGATTGCGAAAGGAGAGAGCGCGTGCTCAAGGTATCGCATTCAGGCAAATTAGCACTATCAGCCAGTCCCCCAAGGTTCGCGGGGACCCCGTGATCCAGGACCAGCGCCATCCTCGGTTCCCCAGGTTTCCCTTCTCCGTTCAACCACACCCCTTAATGAGCCCGTGACCGGGAGAATGCGACGGCAATGGTGAATCATGGAGTTTGACAGGGCCGTAGGCCGTCCACCGCAACATTACTGCCTGTATCAATCACGCGTTTCTGTCTGCCCGCCCCCTCCGTCCGGCACCCAGAATTGCTACTCGGGAGAGGTGGAGGCTCCGTCCGTCGCTGAGTGCCGAGGACCGTCTCCCGAATGATACGATCGGCGAGGGAAGCCGTGTGCATCGGACGATATCACGTTTTATCTGCCTTGCTGCGGCGGGCGGTTGAATTCCCCAGACCGAAGGCATGGTACATTCACACACACACACACACACACACACGGAGAGACACATCTTATGGGGAAAAGAAATGATGCATCATGGGGTCAACGTAACAAGATCGTCGCCCATCTGCCGCGCATATGCCGATGAGGCATCCGAGACGGAGGTGTAGGAGCAAGGAACGGGAGGGAATGATTGGGGGGGACGAGGGCGCCAAATCTTGGGGCAAGACTGTCGTCAACCACGACGATCAGGCCAGAAGACGGTCAGGGCGCGTGCTTCAACATTCCATTCCACGACGGACATCCACGGATGCCGTACCGCACCGCACCGCTCCGTACCGTACAGTGAGTCTCTCACTCACCGACCAAGTCCGAGATGCCGTCGCACGCGCAGGAGAACCCGAAACGGTCGCACGACGAGTGCAGTCCCGTCGTGTGCTTCCCGTCTGCCGAGGCCGCCAAGCATCCATATAATGTATCAGCAAAGCCAAAAGAAGCAAGCAAAATCCAGGGGTATCGTCCACTGAGGTTGTAGATACAACCTTGACCCTTCCTTGTCCCCCGTGTGTAAATAGGTAGCTGTAGCTGTAGCTTTCCTCGCTGCAACGAGGGGAGGGGAGCGCTCGGAGACTGGTCTCCGCTTCGATCGGCCCATGTCGACGGAGAATCGCCTGAGCTCCCTGCAGATGCACCCTCGTCCTCAGTAACAATCCCTGAGCTCTCTCGATACGGAGCCCACGTACGATCTGACGAGCAAGCAGCCGTCTCACAACGGCAATAGTCACGGGAAAGAAGGAGAAGCGGGAAGAAGAAAAAAAAAAGTTGCCGAGGGGGGAGATGGGAATCGATGGTTAATCCGGGTAAGCAATTGACAGAGCACAACAACACCACGTAGCAGCGCTTCCTCACCGCTAGCATCTCGTTGTCAAGGACAAACCATTGGGCGCATTTGCCAATGCCAATGGGTCCTACAAGATGCAGGACTGGCCGTGTACAAAGACGGCCACCGTATAACTTCATTTTATCAATCCCACCCATCTCATCCATCCCCCCAACCCCAACCCCAGTCACGATAAAAAACGCCATTTCTTCCAGGTGCGGACATGTCTCGGCACCGCCTGCAGTTCCCTACAGGGGCTAGTGTCATTTCTCTTCCTTCTTTAGCACCGTCCCATCTCGGCCCAACTGGCGCATCGCATCCCAGATCTCACGATCTGGGCGGCTGGAGTCGTACTAGCGCACAACCCGCTCGTTCGTTGCCGAGAAGAAGCGACATCATTGGAGAGACTGGGAACAAGAGTTGAGAGAAAAAAAGGCATTGAGAAAAAAAAAGCCACGACGGCGGTGTGCATCCAAAAGCCGCAAACCCGTAAAAACTCCATCATGGCCTGCTGCCCAACAACCGAGAACAAAATTTTTCTTTGCCCTTGTTGCCTTCACCTCTAAGATAGCCGCTCTTGACGTTGAGTGGTGGTTCTCGAAACAGGTTGAGGCGGAACGGGTCATGTCGGGAGACTGACTCTGACTCACAAGCAAACAACCAGCTGTGACTTGACCAATTCAAGACCTTTCTGCGTATCCAGTCAGGTACCGGTCCCTGTCTGTAACCGCTCTACCCATCATCATGATGCATCTTGCTGTTGCGTTGTCTCGGGGCGGAGTGACCTTGTCAAACACGATCCCCACTCCATGATGAAGCAAGACGGTGATACAAACCACAAGAGCATCGTCTTTTTTTACAGTAGCATCAACCTCTCTCCATGCCATAGCCATGTCGGACCCTCGCCGAGTTCTACTCCACAGCATGAGATGACGTTGGGGACTCAAACCCAGTCGAAGACCAGGACGCTTGCAGGTTGCATCCCATCGTGCATGATTGTGCCGGGCTGGGGTGTTTTGCAGGCTAAAACTGCACCGCACGATGAGTAGCGGGCGATTTGTGGGAGTCTCCCAGATGGCCGTCTTGGGAATAGGAATAGGAATGCTAAAGACTGGGGGATGAGCAGGTAACGTTGGTTGGGGTAGATTCCGGTTCAAGTCGTAGTGTAGTGTCACACAGAGTACAGTACAGAGTCGAATGCCGATGGCACTGGCACTGGCCCTATTCTTGGTACAGTACCGTACCATCTCATGCGTCATCCATCCCCATCTTCTTCCCTGCTTCCATGATGCTTCCTCGGAGTTTTTTTTTCTTTGCTTCCATCCCTCAGACCGAGGTGGTTGCGTGCCCACCACGTTTTTCATGCCGAGTTGCCACCGTCCATGACGGCAAGCAACACTGGGGGAAACCTTGGGAAGACCGAGGATGGATGGGATGGATGGTTGGATTAGCAGGGAAGATTTGGATAGCCAGGAGCCCCAAGACGCCATCGCATCGGCCATGGTCCAAAAGCGCATGAGGGTGGTGTGTCGTTACGAAACCCTGGGGCAGAAGCTGGACAAGAAGTATCTTTTCCCCACAGGTACCTCGACCATGCCTTGAGCATCCCTCCAGAGGAGCGACCGGCCCGGTGGAGCACGAGCCCTTCAATGCTTGCTAGGCTTGCTGGGCTTGCTCGACGCTCCACGCCCGCTCAGTAAAACCTCCGCCAGCCGCCCAACCGTTGTCCCTGCTTCACCTGGATGGAGAAACGCCCAGGGCCTCTAGTCCTCTTTTGGAAACCTGGGTCCTGGGGCAGTCTCTTAGCTAAGACGCCAATGATGCCATTAGAGAAAATTCTTGTCCTTCCAGAAGCATGCCATAGTCTGGGGCACCCGGGTAAAATAGGTCCTGTATGACGAAACCCTCCCACCCCATGAGCCACGCTCGCTCCTCGCTCGGCCACGATGCTTAACCTCATGGGACTACGGCCGGACTTGGCCGAACTTGCTTGACAAACCGACTGTGGCCCAGCGAGCACGATGCGCGGCTTTATTGCGGTCCCCCACAAGTCCCAGCGTTGCGCTGATTTTTCGCTCTCGAGCGGAGAATTGGTAGGCCAAGGTAATAAAGGGGCTCACATCAATGCGCCTTTTTGGCCATTCTCTCATCTCGCTCCGCGGCCATGTCGTGCCCTGCTCCGTTCCGTTCTGAGGCTCTGCCAATGCCTGGAGATGCCGGTCGCCGTCTCGACTCGGTGTCCATTCTCGGCGCTTTGCCGGCGCCGAGAATGGTTCTCGCCTCCTTCTAAACAATCCCCAGACTCCATCCGACCCATCCAGAGCCTCCTTTACTTTACTGATTAGTTGTCGTCCCCGTGCTCCTCATCATCTCCATCACTGTTCTCGCCCTCGCTTCTTCCAACCTCCTGGCCGAGGAGGATATCCTCGCTGCCTTGCCACTGAGGTGGCGGGGCCGGCATAGCCGCTTCGTCTTCATCTGCCCATCCGTAGTCCTCGTCGTCCTCGCTGTCAGGAACTTCGAGCTCCGTCTCGCCAAGCTTTCGCTTGTGCCTGGCCAGCTCAATTGATTGAATCGCTTCGTAGGGAATCTGGGCCACGCCGTCCTGCCATCTTCATGTGAGCGATCGCCAGCTTGGACACACGATGCCTGACATACCAACTCCACTTTGAATGCGACTACGTTCTCCACGGTCTCCTGAGACGCCTTTCCATCCACCTTTTGCAGACCTGCGAGGAACACGCTCGCAAGCTTGCCCTCTTGCCAGACCCAGTCTCGGAACACGACAAGCCGTGTAGAGACCCCTTGCTCCCAAACCGTGGCATTAACTGCCGCGGTCAACGTTGCACCCCTTTCCGAGTGCATCTTGGTCGCGCATTGAGACAAGATTACAACTGCGCAATTCCTAGTGGCCGCAAGTTTGTGAAGAGCATTCATGATGGACTGCAGTGCCTGTAGCCGTTTCGTAAAGGGACTTGGACCTGCAAACATGTCAGCTACGGAACATCAAGCACTCGCTTATCCACATACCCTTGGCAGACTTGGAAATAGCCTTGCCATCATGCGATTTTGGCAGAGCCGAGTTGACTAATGCTGATAGGGAGCTGATAACCACCAGCGAAGTATTGGCTGGTATAACCTTGGCAGTAGGTCGTGAGATGAGGGCAACAAAGTGAGGAAGAGTCAGACATGAATAATGAAGGAATCGACCAGCGTCACCCTCAACATCATGTGCTTCCACGTCTGAATCGCCTTGATCGTCCTTGATAGTCTTGATGACCGCCTTTAGCCTGTTGTGAGGAATAGCCTGAAAGCAGTCTATACAGCAAAGCTGGGTCAGATATTGGTATCGAAGGAGGGTTATGCTTGATTCAACGAACCTACCCAGACCACAGCATTGCCATCCCGCAATGCATTTGAGGCGAGCTGCAGTCTTTCTCGCACGTTAGTCTCGTAATATGCAAGGGAACGTCCACTTCTTACCCCAAGGCAGTTTTCCCCGTTCCAGGGGGGCCCCAAATTTCTGTCACCTGGCCTCGATGAACACCACCTTTTGGGGTAGAATCCTGAGAGTCAACGGATACTGTGCCCGCAAGAGCATGATCTAGATCCTCGAGGCCTGTAGAGACATGGTTTGACGCGTCGCCTCCAAGCTCATCCAGGGCCTGGGAAGCCGAGACGGTTGGTAATCGGTCTGTATAGCGGGTTAGTTTAGGCACCAGATCGTGGGATGCATCGTGAGACTGACGGGCACCAGATGTGTCAAAGCTGGCTCTGTCATGACCGTGAATCGCATGATAATCCATCCTCCACTCTCATGACGATGCGCGGAGTTTTTCCAGGCCAGTCAATGAAGCACTCGTGAGTGGACCTTTCATCATCGGTGGTCGCGGCAGTCACGCACGTGCTTCGGAGAACAATGAACGCGAGATCACGTGATCCAGAGATACCCTTTCTAAGTCGTCGGGCAAGTCTCTTCGGCGAAGCACCCACGTCAAAGGATCGTCCATCTGTGGAGGATGAAACCCTGTCTTCCTTTACGGCATAGTCGACTTCTTTGGAACATTCGATGAGACTGAGTATCAGCCCACCGAAGCTCACCTGAGCTAGCCCTCCGCTTACTCAAGGTTGCCTTGAACTGTTTCCCCTTCTCTCCTCTCGTCGAGCCACTCAATCCCCGGTTTTGGGCCACGAATCTCGATAAGCGGTCCACAGATATCCCAGCATGGAGCAAGGGCAGTTTAACCGCTGTGGCAAACGGCCGTGGCAAACCGCTCGCATTGGGAAGGGATCAGGGCACAAACGCCAGATAGTCGTGGTATTTGCTGTAAAAGGTGAGCAGTCACAGAGTTGCTGTCCACTAAGAAAGCCAAAGCCATTGGATTTTATTGCATTCCACAACGCTTCGGTCACCACACCGGCACTTGCGGGCCAATATCCCAGCAAATATTGGCTACACAACCAGCTCCTGGGAATGGATGTGGCTCGGGTAACACTGAGCTGAGCTGATTCTCACCAGGTCGACTTCAATACGGGGTCCAGCGAGTCTTAAACCCCAGACGAGTTTTGGAGCCATCGTGGGGACGTGGAGACTCCGGCTTCAAATTAGAGAGTGGCGGAGAAAAGGGTGCCAGGTGATCATCGGCCGCAGATTGAGAGCTTGACTCGAGCAGCGCATGATACTAGAGATAACGACCTCGGCGCCATTAGCCCTTCCTCCCGTCCTTGAGATGATTGCGGGAGGAGGTTGTGGGGAAGAGGCTACCCCATTCCCCATCTCCCCGGTCCCCGGCAGAGCACGGAAAAGATTTCGAGTCACAGGATTGACAGTCTGGGGTCATGATAGGAGCCTGTCCGTAACGGGAAACTGCAGAGATAAGAGATTCCAGCTGACGGCGTGATTAGGACGGACCGGCCAAGGGACGGTGCAGCACAGCATAGCTAAAGACGGGGTCAGACGGTGGGTGGGCTCCGTTCTGCGACTTTCCAAGATTCTCGACGGTCTTGGCTCCCCGTTGATGCTTGTGTTACATTCAGACCATGCTTGTCTTGTGCCTTGCATGAGTTACCCCGTGCCAGTTTCAAGTGACACGGCAAAGTTTGCCTGATCGACTCGCAACGGATGTGGAAGCCTCGGCTCTCAAGACACAAACGGACAATTGCTTGTCTTGCCTGAGAGAAAATACGGCCAGTGGAGTCTTGATGGCTGAGACTCACTGATCAAGCTTCTAGACTTGCTGTAGCGATGACTTCGCCTCTTCCCCCAGGTCTGCCCCACCCGATTGCAATGCAGACCAAGGAGTTGACATTACGGCATCAGATTTAGCGCCGCCATTTCCGAGCTTGACCCTCTCCTGGTGGTTTATCACTGTTTGATGTTGTCCCGACTTTCCGCGTGTCCTAGCTTGCTACAGCTCGTCGACAGTGAGGCTTAGTTGGACGTGCACTGGAGACGATGAGACGGCGTGTCCTCTCAAAAACCCTCACCCGGCTAGATGCGGCGGCTCTAAACTGCAAGGTACCGAATACGATTCCAGTCCATGATGGGGCAGCGTGGTGAAAGCCCTGACTTTTATCATGGGTTTGCTGCCCAGACCCTGGGGCCTGGTCGAGGAGCTCCTCCAGGAGGCCTTGAGTCTGGAGAACCAGGTGCCCTTGAAGTAGTAGGGTAGGTGAGTTGCGGGCAAGCGCTAGGCCATGACACCGGCCCGGTCAGATAGCTTCGTCTGGCTGAATGAAGCCATGACCACGGCGGTTCTTGTCCCTTTTTTTGCGGGGAGACAGGTGATTCGGTGCGACAAGTCATCTCACCTGAGGCTCTCAGCACCCACACCGACAGCCATAGAGATGGGCGATTGGACTCGACTGTGCGGCTACTGTGCATCACGGCGGGCGCCAACAGTACTTGCACGGCTCGGCCAATGTCGGGATCGGGAGCTGGAAAACTGGGGATGGCCAGAGACTAGAGGCTCGGCAGCTTGCGTGCTGCTCGCTGCCATGCTGCAGAGGCAGGAAGTATTGGACGATGCCAGTGCAGATGGGCCAGCTTTACCAAGCGTGGCAACTCTCAGTGTCAGAGACCCCCACGGAGAGAGGCCTTTCATGCGACGCACGGCCAGGGCCATGTGAAGCTCTCCCTGGCCTTGACTGTGACAGTTGCTTTCAGCGCCATGCTTGCGCAAGATCTTGGCCGTCTTGCTCAATTGTCCCCCTAAGCGCCGTCTGGGAATGGTCATGACCATGACGAGCTTCATGGTCCTTTCCTGGGACTAGTTCAGCCTTCAATGAGCCGCAGGCCCCTCTGCAAGGGACATCATGGCACGCCGCTGCATTGTGCATGCAAAAAGCTGGAGCCCCGCGAAGGCTTGTTGGAGATCTAGACCCTGGGATCTGCGACGAGGGACCTCCCACAAGCCACCACCGAGGCTCTGGCTCGGTATGCCAGAAGCCGATCAGCGGCTTGCCAGGGCTGCTGTACCAACACGTTTCCTCACCGGATAGCTTCAACTCTCGGTCAACGACCGCTGCAAGGTCACGTCTAGCTCACCTATCACATGCGGCAGAGCACCCCCAGGTCTCCTTCTTCCGCCATCAACGATCCCAATCTCGCGCTGACATTGAAGCCCCCCAGCGGAGCCGCCTCCGATGGTGGTCGGATAGACACCTGGATAGCATCACGTAGCGGCTAGTAACGTAGTGTAGTCGACCCTGATGAAGGCGCACAATACCACCACGTGGGTGGGAACAAGCACTGGGAAGTTTGTCGCCTCAATACGCCCAAGATCCAGCAACCGAGATGACCTGCCCCTAGGAGTTCTCGGGCCTTTAGACGCCTAGTCGGCTACACTGGCTAAACGGCAAATCACACAGCCGGGACTGACACATGAAAAACGCAATTCCTCTCGAGTGTCGTGAAATCCCCAAGCCGCCCCAGGGAACGGGGCTGCTATCGTGGACGGGGGTGTAGTCAAGCGGTCCAGTCAGGGCCGACGTGGCCGTATCCGCACGTGTTGGGTCCCTGAAAGCCACTACTGTGGAAAAGTCGTTCGACGGGCTGGGGTACAGAGCCGGAGACTGAATTCTCTCGGGAGCAGGACGGAGTTGACTGCTGATGCGTCATTGAAATGAAAGTTGTACCCCTTTGGTGTGAAATAGATGACAACCATGACAACCACGAGATCTATCTGGGGAAGGAGAACGTCTCCGTGTGCAAGCCTGAGTCTTAACCGGCTCGTTGGATTCAGGGCAGGCGCATTGGCCGTATCGGCTGGACATGGTTTGCCGCATCTTGCATGTCAGCGCATTATTAACATCGCGGACTAGCAGGCCCTGCTGGATTCCAATGGAGCCCCCTCATGGAGGAGTTGCGCATGGACAGGCCGCTGATGAAAATGGAGGCTCTTCTCAAGCTGGACCCTCTCTCTGGGGCAGCGAATCCGCGACAGCCCAGGCGCAGGGCAAGGACAGTTGGCCGGCGGCGCTACGGAAAGCTGGGCAATCCCGTCGAAACATCTGTTTGCTGACGACAATGCTCGCCTTGTCGAGGTAGAGTTTCAATGCGTCAGGGGTATGGAGTAGAAATACGTGTATCTGTGTTGTCAACAGCTCGCGCCTCGAAGCCACGGCAACCCGAGTGGCCTCGGAATGGTTCATGCCTCTCGTGCGGGAGTTGGAGGCGTCAAATGCCAGCTGCCAAGATAAGGACCAAAAACCTGGAAGGCCTCTGAACTCCGGACCAAATCCGAGGTGTTGACATGCAATGGCGGACATCGCCGTTCCGAATCACCGAGGGTCAGGATAAGATCTGAGATCATTTGCCCCGGAATTGCCGCAATCGGCTAGCTCGTAGGGTTGCGACAGGCATCAGGGGCTCGGGTCTGGGGCGCCATCGCACAAGGGGAAGCTGGAGAAAGATGGAGCACGACAGAGCCTCCTGGCCTGGGGTTTTCTTGGCCGGGCTCAATTGCCTTATCTGCTCGGGGAAGCTCGCTCGCTCAGCAAGGCACACGATGCGGTGGCGCGCTAGGATTCTTGGATAAGGGCGGCCTTGGTCGACAGGCTAAACGGGCTAACACGACAAGGAAGCAAACCAAGCCAAGCAAAGCAAGCACACATCAACAAGGGGCATGGGTCGACCCAGACGCCCGCCCTGTGGTTTGCGAATCCCTACCATCTGCCGGAGGAGGGTGTCTCTCTGCGCCTGTGTTTGGGAACTTGGGCGTGATATCAGCCAGATTAGCTTATCACCCCCACGTTGGAATTGGGAAAGTGTTAGCACCCCTGGCCGGCTATCAGCAACATTGGCAACATTGGCTGGATGCGGAGGGGGGTGAGAGATTCATTGTCCGACACCAGACCAGACCATACTCCTGAAGCCTGGAATCTGGGGAAGACGTTGCCGTCCATCCGCTCTACCGTAGCCGCAGCCGCAATCTGGAGATATGAAGAGGGGATAAGAGGGGAAGGGGAGCAGTCTCGAATCTCTGGATGGATCTCGACTTATCTCGTGATGAAGTTGATTGCGGAGATGGGCAAGATAGGCCTGGGCTGGACGGCCCGCAGACACGGCAGGTGAGAGGAGTCGGCGGCAGACAGACAGAGCAGCGCAGCTCATTTGATTTGGCTTAGACCGAGGGTATTGCCCGGAGATGGGGCGGACATGAGGAAGCTTGCAGAACTGTGAGGAGGCGAATCAACCTCTGGAACCATGTCTTGGAACTGGGCCTCATGGGGATGCCTCATGTGGCTATCTCCCCCCTGGAAGGGACCGGCCCCGGAATACCAAGCAGCACGCGACTGACGATAGGGACCTCGAGGATGATGCACTCGAGACCTTGCAACTCCCTTTCCCCCCAGATGACGGCTTAAGGCGGAACTCTGGGGAGCGCGCTTATCGCGTTGAATGGCCCGATTACAATGGGGCCAACAACCTGATGATGATGGGATGGACTTGCGCCGGTCGGTCTCGTGGCTCCCCAGAAAAAGAGAGTACGGCCCGGGAGGGGTTCAGGAGGAATCTGGAGTTTAGACAACTGACAAGTCCGGAGTAGGGGTCTTGTCTGGTGATTTGATGCCGGAGCTCAGGCTAAGCGGGCTTATCATGGTTCGGCCTGAAGTGGTGAAAGGCCGGCTTGGTGTTGTGGGAGCAGATACCCCACAATCGGACTCGGTCCCGAGGCTGCGATGTCGCTCGATTATTTGCTCGGGTAATCATTTTCGAGCCTGGCTCTCCTCTGCTTGGATCTCACAACCAAGACTAGGACTTGAACCGGCCATAACGACCTGGACCTGCGGCTGATCATGTCACGAGAGAGTTTGCCCCAAATCCCGGGGTAAAAGTGTGTGTGGAATTGTGGTAACCTGGGGTAGGGAGGATACTATCATGAGGGATAGGCTATAGCCCCCTTTGAAGGGGCTGCTAGCCGGCAGCAACAACAGGGACACAAAAGTATTGCCGAAGGGGATAATAAGAAAAAGTAAAGATAGGCCGGATCGATTGATAATGAGAAGCCAATGCCAATGGACCCTGGGACGGGGTAGTGGCGATTCTGAAGCATCGTGAGGTCCTAACCAGGAAGTAATCAACGCCAGCCCTAGTGCAGTGTCCACCTGAGAAGAGGAGAAGAAAGAGGAGGGTCCCACTGGAGCTGTGAGACTAGCTAGCACGATAGCATCAGAAGACGGAGAAACGGAGAGACTGACTTTGACTGGGGGAGTGGCATTGGCATTGGCATGGCATGATGAATGGGATCGAGGACAGGTCCGACGTTGCAGACGGGCGATTACGTACGTTGAGGAGCCCATCTTCACCATGGTTACTCATACCAAGGCGAAATGCATGGCAGAGCATGACAACAGCGCCGCACAGAATGGGCAATATGCCTGATACAGGAGATCGACACGCAATTGCGTCTTCTCTGCCTACCAAGGCGCACAGCCATGGCAACACGAATTATTCACGAATGGCATGTTTGGAAGCAACCACTGCCATGCCATGCCAGCTCAGCCCAGCTTACAACACAGCACAGTAGCCCAGCCTCAACAAGACGACAACCACGAGCGAGTCAACGTGGCGGTCGCATATCGTTTCGGTACAGGTCCCGTAAAAACCGAAAAGGGCTTGAGAGCTCTGAGCAAAAAAATCACCGAGAAAAAAAAAAGGATCAAAGGGGGCAGTCGGAGCCGCTTCATGGAATGGAGACCAATCAGTCGAGCACGACATGAACAAGAGGCCTGATGTGCCCCACGCCCCGGGCCGGCCAGCAGCGAAAGAAAAAAAAAAAAAACCACAGAAGGCTCAGCGAGAGGAAGCCCACGGTGAAGTGGAGCGAGAGAAGGGTGGGCGAAAGGTCTCACCGTCGAACCTCTTCGGGCATTGGCGGCGGCCAGATGGGCTGGGGGGGATCCAAGGACCAAGCGGGCGAACGAGAGGGCTAGGAACAAACTCCACACGCCTCTCCAGGTCGGCATCCCAGGACGAAGGTGAGAGGTCGGCGTTCGGGGCGTGGAGGCCGAGTCTTGTCTCTCGAGGAGGGGGACTCCACGGGCGCAAACAGAGGCCAAAAGATTGAGGATCCTAGAGATGGGGAGAGACTCGGAGGATGGTCGGCGCGGAGGGGTGGACTCCGCGGTCGAAAGGCCATCTCGGGAGGGGTGGCCGTACCAGATCCCCAGCTCATCCAGTCCATCCGTTGTTGTCGTCCCGACACTGGTCGTGACTCGTTCCGTTCACTCTTGTCTCCGGGGGCGGGATCATGAAAGTTTTCTCAATGTTGTACCAGGGGAGATGAGGAGGTAACTTGCAAAATGGATGGATGAGGCTTGGAGTCGCACATTGGGTCCTCTGTGACTCTGACTCTGATTTTTTTCCCTTCCTTCCTCATCTGTTGCTGCTCGCCCCGTTAATGCCCCCAAGGATAAGGCCCGAAGAAACGGGGCATCCAGGTTTCCAGTTGTTCCAGAGCCCCAGCGCAGGTTTCCAGTGGAAGACCCCATCGCACCTTCCATTGGAGCCTCCTGCTTCTCTCGCCGGGGTAAGGAAGGGACGAGCAAGAAAAGGTGGAGGGGCAGGAAGGGTACGTACAGTCCACGCCCCACGCCCCACACGTACTTCCTTACTTGACCTCCCACGCTCATAAGATCACCCCTCATTTTTTCGTCTGGGTGGACCCTCCTTCTTGTATGGCTCTTGCGTGCTTGAGGTGAGAGAGGGAAAAAAAAAAAACTGTGAGAGCCCACTAAGGGGGCCACCCACGGGGCACTCCACTCACTGAACAAACCCACTGGACATTGACATTCCCCTGTAGCTGTAGCGGTGCACCGGACCAACCCCCTAGTCCTCTAGTGACCTGCCCTGCTGGCCCTGAGGGCGCTCCTGTTTTACCGCTGCCTGGCACAAGGCGGGCTCAGGTACCCTCGGGCGGTGCCTACAAGCCAGCGTGGGGTGCAGGGGGGCGTGCATCTAGGTAAGCAAGGCGTGTGTGCGTAGGTTGCTTGTTCCCGTCCCTCGTTCCTTCTTCCCCCCCTCCACGCACCCTCCACCCTCCACCCTCCTCCACTCGCTCCGTTCACTCGCTCGTCCTTCTCCGTCTCGATGTCGCAGTGCGTGGTCTAGTACCGACCCGGCCGAGCCCGGCATTCTTTATAACCATTGGATCCCCCCCGTCCCCTCCTTCACTCCAGATTCCCGTTCTCTCCAAATCGTTACGCCAGATCCTCCAGCTTCCCCGGAACTTGACTCCTCCACCAACCTGCATCAGCTTCAGCTTCAGAGACTTCGGTCCAAAGACAATCACCCAATACACCAGCAACCAAACCGCACACCAACGATCACTATATCGGCTCTCAACTCTGGACTCGATCCACCGACATCGCCAATCTTGATAACCACTATCACGTTGAGCGTTGGGTCCTCCACAAGTCGAATCACATGCAACGAGCACTGGATTTCTCAAGCCTACTGAATCCCACAGCATCGGCTGATACGGAACCCGAGAAACCCCAACAGGGCGACGTCGAGATGGCAACCGCAGCAGTCACTGTTATCAAACCCAACGGGCCCCTCCCGGGTGCCCAGGCCTCAGAGAGCTCCAACGAGCTGCCTCGACCTTACAAGTGCCCTCTCTGCGACAAGGCCTTCCACCGTCTCGAGCATCAGACTCGACACATCCGCACTCACACTGGCGAGAAGCCTCATGCCTGCCAGTTCCCCGGCTGCAGCAAGAAGTTCTCTCGCTCTGATGAGCTCACCCGCCACTCCCGCATTCACAACAACCCAAACTCGAGGAGGGGCAACAAGGCTGCTCAGCAGCACCAGCAACAGCAGCAGCATCAGATGCACCAGCAGCAGGGCCTCCCGCCTCACATGCTTCCCGATGGAATGATGGCGCCGCCTCCCGCTCCCAAGACCATCCGCTCTGCTCCCACATCCACTCTGGCCTCCCCCAATGTCTCTCCTCCCCACTCTTACTCGACATTTGCTCTCCCCGTCTCGGCTGTTCACTACAACCGAAGTGGTGACATTTCCATGCTGGCCAAGGCCGCTACTCAGGTCGAGCGGGAGACCCTCACTGCTCCTCCTCACCACAACTCGCGTCACCACCCCTACTACAGCCACGGAATGCACAGCTCCCGAGGCCACCTCCCTACGCTCTCCTCTTACCACATGTCCCGGTCTCACTCCAACGATGAGCCCAACGACGACCACTACTCTGGCGCTATGCGACACTCCAAGAGGTCGCGGCCCAACTCCCCCAACTCGACGGCTCCCTCTTCGCCAACCTTCTCCCACGACTCTCTGTCTCCTACTCCCGACCACACTCCTATCGCCACTCCCGCTCACTCTCCTCGCCTGCGACCTTTCTCCGGATATGAGCTCCCCAGCCTCCGGAACCTGTCTCTCCAGCACAACACGACCCCTGCCCTGGCCCCTATGGAACCTCATCTCGAGAACCACCACATGCAGGGACCTCCTCCCGCTTCTGCTCCCCGGGCTACTGGCATGTCTCTGACGGACATTATCAGCCGGCCAGATGGATCTCAGCGAAAGCTCCCTGTTCCCCAGGTCCCGAAGGTAGCAGTCCAGGACCTGCTCTCGGATAACGGATTCAGCCACAGCGGCAGGAGCTCCGGCGCCAACAGTCTGGCCGGAGGCGATCTCATGGATCGGATGTAGGACAGACGATTGCTTCGCAGCTCGCACGACATGATGACGAACAACATGGGTTATAGAGGTATAGAAGGAGACGGCGTTTACGGGTTACTACATGGCAATCGATCGAATTTCATCATCTCAAACACAGAATTGAGCACTCGAGGACTTGGGCGGCACTTGTGAAACGAAAGAAGGCAGGCATTTTTCTCCAGGGGCGGCGGACATTGGTTCCAACATGAGTCCCGCCCTCTACGGGGGGCGGCAGAAACTAGATTTCGAATTGCGGAGCACTTGGATTTTTCCCTCGGGCTTGCCTCGGGGCTGTCGGGGCCACCATACCTCGACCGGAAAAGCAGTCTATTTTGATATCCACGGCTGGTTTTTTTCCCTTTCTTTTTTATTTCTTGAGACAAAAAACTCGACTCCTGTCTATTCAAACAAAATTTTTATGTCAAATGTCTAATGTTCATGTCTTCTTCTCTTGTTCAATGTGCGGGATCACTTCTATTGCTTCGGTACTAACTGGAGAGGGTCTTGAAAGATAACTAATGGCGACCAGGGGTTGCAGTATCGGGGGGTCGGCATAATGGGAATGGGCGGAGACGTGCCCCCGGGGGGATTTTGCTCTCCTGAGAATTACGAACCAAGTGTATGATGTATGGTAATAGATAGACGCAGCGCAGCGCATGCAAAGCAAACTAGCTCGAGCTTTACCCACTCAACCCTGACCTGGCCTGTGACTTGCTTGACTTGATCTGATCTGACCTCTGTGATTTGGAATGAAGCACTTGATCCAACATGTGTAAACAACCTGCCCCGGTGACCGACGTCAGGATCTCCTCGTGTGACATAATGAAGACGGAGGGAAGACACTGTGGGAGGGAGCACCCAGATCAGATCGGATGGACAACCCTGCGGAACCGCAGCTGGGAGGGTTGGAATCTGGATCGCGTCCTTACTCAAAGGGGGGAGCAGTCCGGGGGAGAACCAAGCCCAAGGGAAAGCAGAAAAAAGTCAAGTTGAGGTGCTGTAGCTAGTGAAGCACACCTTGGGCCAGGCAACTTGCGCTTTGGCATGTCGTTTGGCCTGTTTGGGTAGCAGGGCCAGCGAGGCGTTCAGCCAGCCCAGATGGACGGCTTTAGTGCGCGCGTCCCTTGGGGGCTTGGGGGGGAGATCTCAGGATGCCGTCATTAGTCGGGGAGTTTGACAGCATCCGTCCCATGGTTGCTAGGGGCTTTGTCGATTGTTACGCACATGTTTTCCCCCTTTGATCCGGGGAACACTCCTTGGTCAAAGACGAAACTCTTTGCTTGTGTTGCGTGTCCCTCGAATCGATGTCCTTTTCTCTCTGGCCATGTCTCTCTTCTCTCCCCCACCCACACACGGGCACACACACGCACACACACACATGCTTCCAAAGGGCTGACGGGACGGCACAAATCAATCTGATCTGCCGCCTTCCCCCACCACTAGACAGCCAAGGCATGGGAAAATCCCACCACCCACACCCATGCCCCCTCCTTGGATCTCTCGTCCAACCCCTGCGCCGGTCAGCTCCAAGTGGGTGAAGATGGGTTGAAAGTCAGATGGTCGCAGTTATCACATGGAGACGAGAGAAAACCGCAGGTGATAAGAGCACAACACCACAAGGGCCTGAGCCTAAACACCATCCACTACCACACACACATAATAGAGAGGAGGGGAGAATAATCACAAATGTCTTTCTCATCCATCGGCTCTGCGGCTAAGGCGTGTATGGGATGGGTTGCGTTGCGTGCAGCACGCGGTGCGAGGTCGGCGCATGAGCGGACCGTAACCGGGCAAGAGAAGGGGAAGCCAGAAAGTTGAACCGGATTCTTTTTCTCCTCTGATGGAAAAAATATTCGCCAGCAGAGTAGAAAACCCCCTCCGGTTTTCGAGGCGCAGCGGCCGCACGCTTCCCCAGTTTGTGGACGCATATACTTTCAGGGCGCTCCAGCAGGAGAGTGGGCTCTGAGTTTCAGGGTACAGCGCCTTGGCCTCGAGTTTATCGGGCAATGGAGAGCCACGAGAACCTGGGAACTTTCAGTGTGCTTGCTTTGGGATGACAAGTCCCTGACAAGGCTTCACCTCGTTTCTGTCTCCCCCAGACTCTTTCTGTGTGTTGTCAGGGGTGGTGGTAACACAAAAAAGCAAAGAACCGACGTGGAATCCCTCCCCCCATACAGACCAAAAAGCTCGTAAAAGCAACTGCAACATTTTGGGGGGGCAGTAACCTTCTGAGTGGCACGCCTCAAAACCTCTGCATCACGTCAGCCTGTGAGGCTTTGGGCGGTGGTGGTGGATGAAAGCTGAGCCCCCTCCCCTGATAAGTGTTTGCCTGTTTTGCCCCCCCCCCCCCTTGGTGGCGGCTTTGTTTGATAACAGGGCCAAAGCGGCCGTCCGTCTTACAGTACAACCAGAAGGAAGGCTCTTGGTTCATCCAAAGACGATGAACCACGTAGGACGGAGAGAAGGGCTGGTTGCGCGTCCCCAAGCCTCTTACTCTTCCTTCTTTAGAACCGTGTACAAGTTCAGGGGTACAGCTATTTAGGATTTGGCAAAGGCAAGGGGAAGCAGCGTCATTGGGTGGACGAGCATTGGGGGCGTACAGTCGTCATGTTTGTGCGTTGTGCCTCTTACTTTACCCCATGGGCCTGTTTGAATGAGGCATCCAATGTTAGGCCTACGCAGTACACGCACGGCAATCCCGCCTATGAATTGTTGGGGGATGGATCAAGGGAAGTCCGCCCTGTCTGGTAAGAGGCAGGTCGGCCGGCTCGTAGGGCCGCTCCACGGTCTCGGTCTCGGGCCGGGATGGTCGGTGAAGGTGAAGAAGGGGGAGGGGAGGCGTTACGCGCGGAGAGGTCGCACAATGGGGCGTATCTCTTGCTCAATCCGGCCGCCCTTCGTGGGCTGAGTGGTCGAGTCGAGTGCTGGCACCCCTGGCACTCACCACGATAAGCAGTCCGGTTTAATTAGAAGGCGGACCAAGATGCAGCACAAAGCACCACACGTGCGTCCTACATACCACCTGCTGTACATGTACAGTACACACCGCCAGAACCGGGGCTGGCGAATGAGGGTTGAGCCGGAAATCGGGAGGGAAATAGAAATAGAGGGAAGTGGTGTGAAGAAATCTTGAGAACCCGAAGGAAGGAGAAGAAGGTATCTAGGCGAGTGTCAGAAATCCGGGGGTGGTGTGTGCGCGCGAAATGCGGGTGTGTAGCCGCCGCTGGCCTCTTTACTTGTTGCTTGCTTTTTGGAGGGTGGTATTCGCGGGGCAGAAAAGAATAAAAAAAAAAGCTGGGGTTGGAATGGGAGCATTTGGCTGGTGGATGGGCGATGACAACGGCATGTCGTCGACGTCAAGTCTTTGTCGATCTTTTCCCCTGGCAAGAAGGGGGAAAACAAATATTTGTTATCACGCCGTTAATGATGACGATGATGATGGATGTCTTATCTTGTGGGTTTCCGGGGCCCCGGAGGAACGGAGTCTCTAATGTTTGACTCAGGGGCCGAGCATTTCTTTTGTGCGTCAGTTTGCCTCTCCCCCAGACCAGGGCTCAGATTGAATTAATGAAGTCTACCATGCAGGTAGGCTTGGGTTTGTCCCACGTCCAGCTGCGGATAGCGGCGGCCGCGGTCTGGGGGAGTGTGTGACTGTGTCACCTCACCTGGGGATGGGTGCAAGCAATGCTGGGTGGGCAGTTGAACAACCTGATCCTGAATCCCGGTATCCTGATCTAACATTGGAAGTCGACCACCGCCGGCCCGCTCGACGATGGCCGAGTCAGTCATGGGAACGGCAGATCTCATACGGGCCGGAGTCTGGCGTGGGGTTGTCTCCCGGACTTTGAATGCCATCAGAGCTGACTAGTCAAATGCTTGGATAGAATAGCCGGGCGAGTACGGAGGAAGCTTTCAAAAGTTCTCGGCCGCCAAGGCGCTAGCAGCAGCCACAAAAAAGCAAGGAGAGCAGGTTTGAAACCCCGCACATACAAATTACCTAGAGAGGGGTTTTCTTGAGCTTCTTTTCAATTTCTGACCTTCCTATCAATGGCCCCGAATACAGATATCGCGACCCGGGCCTTAGTGGTTTCCCTTAAGTCCCCCTGCGGGGGGAAGACTACTGCCGAAGTGATCGAGATCACAGGGCTCTCAAAGAGCACAATTAACGATATCTACACCCGAGCGATTACCCGAGGGTTTAACCCTAATCATCGACCTCTTATTATTCGGAATTCCTTCCTTAAAGATGCCCCCCGGCCCGGCCGCCCGACGAAGCAGACAGAAGAAGCAAAGAAGGCAATTATCGCGAAGGTACGCCGCGACCGATATAGCCGGGAAAAAACCTACGCTGATATTGCTAGGGACCTTAGCTTAGAAGGCCACAACCTCTCTGCTATTACAGTCTAGAGGATCCTTAAGGCTACTGGCTTCTAGAAGACCAAGCCGACGAGGAAGCCTAGGTTAACGAAGAAGATAAGGCAAGAATGTTATAAATGGTGTATTGCCCATCAAGATTGGACCCTTGAAGATTAGAAGAATATCATTTAGTCGGATAAAACCTCTATTATCTTACTCTATCGCCGAGGAGGCTATCATATGTGGAGACGGGCTAATAAACGCTTCCTTCGTAGCTATATTCGAGAGAGATAGAAGGGGGCCAGCGAGTTTATATTCTGGGCCGCCTTTTCCTATGATAAGAAGGGTCCTTATTATTGCTAGGGCCCAGAGACTGCAAAAGAGAGGAAGGAGTTAGACCTACGGCTTAAGGAGATTAATCAAGAGCTCGAGCCGATTATAAAGGAAAAGTAGGAGCTCACAACGGGTATGCGAAGGCTAGGGCTACGAGGCCTGCCGGGCAAGAAGCCTCAGTGGAAGTAGAAGAAGGCAAATAGCAAGCTAACGAGGGGATCAGGGAAAGGTATTGACTGGTGGCGCTATCAACAGACGATTCTTCTTCCAAAGATACTTCCTTTTGCAAAGGAATATCAGAAAGAGAGGCCTAGCACGATCATTCAAGAAGATAAGGCGCCGGCACATAACCACCACGCTCAACAACGCGTTTATGACCTTCATAACATACAGCGGCTTCTTTAGTATGGAAATTCGCCTAATTTAAACGCGATTAAGCCAGCCTGGCCTTATTTAAAGAGAGCAACTACGAAGAAAGGCGCCCCTAAGAGCCAGCAGGAAGCTATTCGGGCTTAGCAGGCAGCTTGGAAGGAGCTTCTGCAAGAGAAGATCTAAGCCTAGATAGAGAGAATCCCTACATATGTGAAGAAAATCATTGAGCTTGAAGGAGGGAATGAATATAAGGAAGGCCGGGAATAGTCTCATAGTAATTTGTATATATGTGTACTTCTCCTTGCTTTTTTTCCTTTTTTGGGATAGTGGCGTATTTAGCGCGGCCGAGAACTTTTGAAAGCTGCCTCCGTATAGCATGCCAATCTTGGTCTCGAA